TTGGATAGTGATGTTGTATTAGTTGCAGTCAGCCCTACATATTTGTGTTGGGTTGGTGGCACAGAAACCATGCAAAAGTTGGGAAATTGTGAATATTGTGGAGGTGGGGCCAGGCTTTGGGCGAGAAGATTGCTGGTAGTCCACTTAACTGAAGCCACAAAGCACTACACACACAGCATGTCTTGAAAGGAGTTGGCAATTGCTTGTGGTTCTCACTTCCCTCAAAGTGAAAGGCTATCACATAAATGTGCACAAGGCCTCAGGAGAGAAGGGGCAGAACCTTTGAAAATTCTTCTCTTGTTACTAAGGCAACCTCTGTTCCTTTTTCATGTGTTAAGAGTGCTGTTTGTTGGGCTAAGGAGCTTGTCCCTGAGCACTCCCAAAACAATCATAATTTTGAGAAGAAATTGTCCAAGGTCTGTGCCATGGCTGATGCCAGTTTATATATGGTTCGGTTTGCTTCTTTTGCCATGGCAGTGGCTGGGCTGCTTAGGAGATAGTTCTGACTGAAAAACTGGTAAGTTGATAATAAATCTCAAGAGTTTTGCTAAAATAAAAAAGAGTTGAAAGAAAATTTGAAAAAAGTTAAGAAAGAGATTTAAAAAGTAGTATATGAACTGGTGTAAGTGTAAAAGTAATTATTGATAAAGTGGTGATTCTGGTTTGTAAAATTGATACTGTCAACAAAGGGATAGAAAAATCAGTGGATAATATTGGAATTGAGACAGAGAAGTAATTCTGTTTGAGATTTAGAGCAGTTTTGGAGGACCCTGGAGAATGTATTATGGAAAAGATTTCCTGGAAAAAGCGGAAGAGGATATGAATTTGGCAATTAGTAAAGTTTATAGAATAGATAAGACTTCCAATGTTAAGAATTTTCCCTACTTTGTAAGAAAAAACCACTTAAATTGAAGAGTAGCAATACAAATGTATAGTGATTAAGGAAATAATGTTCAGAATATTGTGTTGATTAGACTTTCAAAAGGGATCCTTAGATCAAGACTGAATAAAACCTTACTGAAGAAGATGGTGGAGGATTGTAAAAAGAAGTTAAACTATCTGAAAAAACCCCCAGCATTTATCATTTATAAAAATATAGACCAATATCATTATTGAATGATGATGATGACGAAAGTTGTTTGCAATTATCAGAGAGATTGAAAATAATTCTACAGAACTATTAGTGGATGTGAATGTGGTTTCTACCTGAAGGACAACTAAGAGAAAATACCAGAAACATGTTAGACATTTTGGAATATTTACAACAGCATAAAGAGAAACAAACAACTTTGATTTTGGATGTGGAAAATGCTTTTGACAATCTAAATTGGACTTGTTTACAGTTTTCAGGGGGAAAAATTGTTAAATTAATTAAATCAGTGTATATGTCAGTGAAAATTCATATAATTGTTAATGGAGAGTCCGTATGTGATTTCAAAAGGTATAAAGTAAAAATGTCAATTCTCTCAATTTTTTCTTATTTCAATTTTGGAACATTCAATAGAGATGTGAGACAAGGATGCTGGTGAAAATGTGAAAAATGTGAGAACTGAATCAACTGTATTGTCGAAGGCTTTCATGGCTGGAATCACTAGGTTCTTGTGGGTTTTTTCGGGCTATAGAGCCATGTTCTAGAGGCATTTCTCCTGACGTTTCGCCTGCATCTATGGCAAGCATCCTCACTACCTCTGAGGATGCTTGCCATAGATGCAGGCGAAACGTCAGGAGAAATGCCTCTAGAACATGGCTCTATAGCCCGAAAAAACCCACAAGAACCTAGTGAATCAACTGTATTTGATGGAAAAAATGGTTTTAAGACTATCTTTTAAAATATGTATTTATATTGCACTTTTTTTCCAAAGGCTACTCAAAGTGACTAACACTAAAAATCAGAGTAAATTAGCCTACAGTAGATAGTTTCATAAATAAATGGCAAGCAATGCCTCTCCTCCGAGGCAAGGCATGTAGTGCTTAAGGACAATTCATGATATTTTGACTATCACGTCTCCCCACATTTAGGGTGTGTTATGTGAATGGCGTGACCCTAACAGTAGCAACAACAAGATTAGTTTTATGTCTGCCTAATTTATGAGTAATCCTGGGACTTCTAGAGAGTGCTTCTGGAAGTTGACTGGGAATCATCTCACCCTTGCATCCGTTTGCAAGTGGAAACTCTGCTTATGTTTGTGTTCCTTTGGAGGGGACTGGTCTTTGTTTCAAAGCAAAATAAATAGCTACAATGACTGATAGGCGCCATGCAATTCTGAGGGAAGTTCTCACAAGTCCGGTTCACTTTCTCTTTCAATTAAAAATTTTAAACAAATTTTGCCCTACGTGGGATATAGAGAGTGGATAAAATGAATGTTATCTTATGCCAGGCGTTTATTGGAAGGGCACAAGATAGTTTTTTTTTAAAGCACCTTGGAAATTGCAGTTCTTTAGCTTTTAAGATGCACTGCTGGAGAATGGATTATGGATTTCAGATTGTTTCTCCTGATGCTGTGCACAGGACCTGCCTGGTGGAGCTGTGATAAGGCAAGTTATGGTACATGATAACCACATTTTAGTTTCCAAATCCGATAACGCCATTCTGTGTCTCTAAAAGGATATTGTCACTTGTTTGGTTTTCTCTTGTGTTAATCAAAGGCATATAAAATCCATATCGTACTTTTAAATGTGTACTCAGAAGGACTGAGTACTGCTGTGTCCATTGAATATTACTCCTGTGTAAGCTTAGAATTTCTTACTTAGCCACTGGAAGAAGTCTTACACAGTTAATTATTTTACCTGCCACTGCAGATAATGAAGAAGAAAAACAATATTGATTCCTTTCTGCCTTTGAAGTCCTAGATGAGACAAAAATAGGAAAAATTGATATTTGTTTTCCTGGCCCAAGTATTCTGTATAAGAAATAGCTCCATCATGCTCCCTGGCAGCTGATAGAGTTGCAGTGGAGGTGGAAGGCCCAAGCAGATATGCTTTATCTTGAGAACAGCCTAAAATATTAAAAGGCAGATACTTGATCCAGTGGCCCACACGGTATCGGTGAAGGCTTCAGCTATAAGGGTAACTGAGATGGGAGCTGCTTTATTGTGTTCCCTAATCTTGTCCTGTTGGTTTACACTCGCCCTGTATTCCCTGCTGCTGATCTGGAAGGAGAAGGTGATTCTTGTGCTTAAATGTCAGGAAGAAGACTGTACTGGATAAGCGTCAGTTCTCTTGTGTCAGCATGATTGTCCTTTTTGTGTAAGGAGTAGGGTCAAACTGCTTTTGAAATGACAACACAAATGGAGAAGCAATGTCCCTGAAATTCATATTTTGCTGTAGACATATAACTAATCTGTGTTAAGAGCAGGGCTGCCAGATCTCAGGGTCTTGTTATGCGTCTCCACTTTTCATGAGTCATCTCCAGGCAGGTGATGAGGATGCAAACGCTCCAGTTTTGGTGGGTTCAGCTCCAACCAAGAAGCAAGGGTTGTTTGAAAATCTCCAGCTCAACTGATAGAAAAGCATCCTCCCACAATTTGAAAGTCTTAATAATTGATCTGTTGCTGCTGTTGCTCTCAAGATGGAGCAGATGCATTTACTTAGCTAATTTCTTCCTTCCCTCTCTGGCATGATGCTGCCAGAGTTTACGTTCTATCATGCTTTGTATCCACCTTCTGACTAGAAGCAACTATACTATTTCATCATGCAATATTTGCATTTTTATCCCTTTTTGTGGGCAAAAGAAGGGTGTGACTGTTATACAAAGAAAATTGTGCTAGTGTTACATACTGTACTTGAAAATCAGTAGCACGTGCAGACCCTGGGGCCCTTGTGCTATGTGACTTGTGCCCCAAGGGTACACTGAGAGAATGCCACTGGGCCTCTTGGGTACTGTGCCGCCTGCATCCCATGAAAATCCCTCTATCCCTGCAGCTCCTTCTAGGCGCTTTGATCCAGCTGGATGAGGGGCTGCTCTGTAGGGAGATTGTGGGTGGGGGGCTTTCTTCAGATAAGATCCAGTCTGGCTGGGCCCATCACATCTGCACAGCCCTTTTACCAGGGTGTTGCCCTTGCTATTGGGAACGGTTTGTCCTCACCTGCTCTCTGCACCCAGCAGATAGAGGAGGACCGCTGCTGAAAGCCGACATCTTCCCAGTGCTTTTAGACTCAACCCAGTGAAGAGAGTGGCAATACCCATGCGACAATTATGTGAGGAAATAACCCTTTGAGACTCAAAAGGGTGTGTGTGTATCTATTGTGCAGTCACAACTATTACACAGTAAGATACTGTATGCTCAAGGAAATATTCCTTTTCTACCATCTCAGTTCTCTATTAAAGCCTCAATTCACCTTAATCCGAGAAAAGCCCCTTCTATTAGGGTACAGACACAGAAGTTTTGTTGGACTCCACATCTAAATAAAAGGTGCACAAAAGAATGCACATATTGTAAAACGAATGTGATTGAAATGCACATAATTGAAAAAGGTTTGTTGTGTACTTTAGTCAGTAGAATCAGTTAGCCTAAGTTAGGTAAGTTGCACAAATAAATGTTGAAAATGCTTCAAAATGTGTGAATATCAGTATAGAAAGCAGGGCACACACAGAAAACAGCAGGGGGGATTCAGAGAAACTCAACAATATCAATTGTTTCATATTCCATCCAACCATGGAGATGGAGTGCTCATCACCTGGATGCCACCCTTAGGAACTCGAGGCAGCAGTTTACTTCAGGCCTCTGATGTCACAAACAAGTTGCATAGTTTCTAATTATTATCTATTTTTGATTGGCGCTATGAAATTTATAAAATCATTAACTGTAAAATCTGATCCTGCCTTTTTATAAATGACTCAATCCCTACTGTCCACTATTTTGTGACATCTTTCATCATTTTCAACCCTCTCCAGTGGACCCTGGGGGTGGGCAGTAGAGAGTTTGAGAATCCCTGGTGTGTGGATTACTACAGTTCCATAATTTCATTGGTTTCTATCCTTTTGTTTCTCTCCTATTAAGCTGAAAAAGTAACTTCTTTGGGGAAAGACTGGCACAAGTTTTGTCTGAAATGTGAGCGTTGCAACAAGACCTTGAACCCTGGTGGACATGCTGAGGTGAGATGGTTCTTGTGCATGTTATGTCTTAAATCTTGGTTGTCTGCATTTTGTCTGTAAACTGAATGAAGAAATATTAAGGCATGTTGGGGTTCCACTCTTCTGTGTCTGTGCTTAGATGGTTTGTTTGCACTGCTGGGGGCACAGCTGTATTCTTATGTGCAGAATAGATCGCTACAGCTCTGCATTGTGGCTGCCAATCAAAGGGTCAAGTTTAGGGCAATGGCAGGATTTTTATCTTGTAGCCTGGGCACCGAGTTTACCAAAATAGGAAGACACAATAGACAGTGAATTTCCAGTTTCAGCTAAAACCCTAGTCATTTTTCTGATTTCCGTTACCCATGTTATGATTTCTTAGCATGATTAATGATGAAGGAAGATTAATATGTTCAGCTAGTCATGCAGTTCACTGTTAAATTTGTTCTGCTTCTGAGCAACACACAAACATTTTCACAACAAAACATTTATAACATTCACTCATGAGAAAAATGCCAGAGGTCACAAAAATAAGCAAGATTTTCGAGATTGTTTTGGTCAAGGAAGAGTAGAAGCCTTAGAGCTCCGGAAGAGAAGAATAGTTGCGGTTGTTTCACCCTGCAAACAGTGAATGAGAGAAACAGATGCAAATATTATCTCAGTTCTCCTAGTACCGGAAATTTCCAGCACCCATCTGACACGGATGTCTGGGAGCTTCAGAATGAGGTCCAATAGAACGTATCTCACCCATTGTCTTTCTTTACATCAGTGGGTCTCAACCAGTGGGGTGTGAGAACGAAAATCCAGTCCGCTAACCTCCTTCCTCATTATTTATTTTATTTTATTTTTTTTCCACTCCTTTCCCCAGAGCTAACCAGCCCCACCCATTTTGGTACTAATGTTGAAGAGTGGTCCTTGTTCAAGTGCTCCCCGTTCCAGTGGTTCCTGGTCAAAGTGGGCCCTAGTCAAGTGGGCCCTGGTTAAAAAAAGGCTTGGGAACCACTGCTTTACATTGTTTAGTGCAGCAGCCATTGCCATCCATATAATCTACAGCAAAATGATGTGGCCAGATTGTGTTTAAAAAGTTGATGAAAAGCAACTTGCATGAGCCTTAGCTAGCATAGCCAATGGTGAGGGATGATATGGGTTTTGGGTCAACATCTAGAGGACCACATGTTTCCATCTCTGATCTAGAGCACTGCTTCTTAAACTGTGAATCTTGACTCCAAATTGCGTCCCCTTAGCTCAGTGGTTCCCAACCTGTGGTCTGTGGACCACCAGTGGTCCGCAAGAACTAAAATATGATCTGTGGCCTCACTATTACTGCACCGTTGCAATGAGAGTGACCGATCTCACGAAACTCTCTTATAGTGCCAAGGCTTATTAAATATGGTTTTCTGTGGGCAAGCAGATGGCGACTACTGGATGGCATATGTTCTGTATCATAAACTAGATCCAATGTGGTCTATCCAATGCAGTTTTCTGAATCAGCACCTCAAATAACCAAACTGAATCTAAAGTTGACCAAAAACTGATTCGTAACTCTTTTGTTGCTAATGTTGGAGAGTGGTCCCTGGTCAAAAAAAGGTTGGGAACCACTGCCTTAGCTCAATGCTGGGATCCTGAAAAATTTGTGTAGCATCCCACTTAGTGGTTGTTTTAAACATGCATCGTTCACAAATCTATTATCAATGACATGCAGCATTTACAGTGAACTCTGCAGAAAATGCTTCAGTGGTACTCCATAAAAAGGAAAATAAGCCAGTTTAGCAGTCCTTGCAAATGCTGGTTAGTTATCAGTAAATGTTTGATTGTCTACCTATTTTATATACCTCTATATGTGGTTTCACATAAAGATTTCTCAGACCAAAAGGGGTCCCAAGTGGAAACGTTTAAGAATCCCTGCTATAGAGATGGTCATAGAATCATAGAGTTGGAAGAGACCTCGTGGGCCATCCAGTCCAACCTGCCAAGAAGCAGGAAAATCTCATTCAAAGCATCCCCAAAGATGGCCATCCAGCCTCTGTTTAAAAGCATCCAAAAAGGAATCTCCACCACTCTCTAGGTCAGAGAGTTCCACTGCTGAGCAGTTCTCACAGTCGGGAAGTTCTTCCTAATGTTTAGGTGGAATTGCTTGCTGTGTTGTTTTAAAAGACGGGACTGCCGCAGTTCACCATCCAACCACAACCTTTTTTTGCTGATAGGTCTAATGAGTGATAGAGGGTATTTAAAACAGAATTGACTATCCTAGGCAGGAATGAAGAAGGGTCCTTAAGCTTCAACTGAGACTAGCCCCACAAACTGCTGGAACTGGGCTGATCAGACCCTTTTTCGCGGGAAATTTGATCCAAAGGACATGAAATTTCCAACAACTCTGATTTACAGTGTGGTTTCTGTTCTGTTGCATAGAGCAGCAGTCTGCTCATGGATCACTCAGCAAGAAAACAGAGCACATTGTTTTCATTACCATCTCCAAAAGGTCCTCGTATAAGCTGCTCTTTATTCACTGGCAAGGTGGGTGTACAAATGGCTCTACTCCCTTCCAGTGAGGAAAGGATAGTGTTCCTCTGTTTATGGTAACCCCTTCTTCCAAATCACATGTGACTCTTGGATCCAAATAAGGTCATGATCTTGAAAAAAAATGGCATTTAAACTGTCATTTTTGAGACATATTTACTGATCTTTATAAAAAAAAAATTGTTTACTTTGCACCTTTAACCCTACAATACTGCAGAACATTTCATCATTGAAAAACAAAACAATAAAATCATCCAAACGATTAAACCATCTTACTAATCAGTTACCATCAGCAATAATAACAAGCCAGCACAACCAAAATAGTTTCCTGGCCCCCAAAAGTGATACGCTGTCCATTTTTCACTTCTTGGCATAGGACGAAGGGTACAGCTTGACCATAAAGCAATATTTCCATCCCTGCTCTTTGTTCCTTATAAGAAGTGAATGTATAGAGTAAACTTCCTCCAATTATTTTTAGATGTTGACAGATGTTCTCAGAAACATAAATTGAATTGGACTCAAATTGGAAATTATATATCACAGACACATTTGTTGCCATCTTAAGTTTTTGAGGCACTCTTTAAGGACAGATAGCCTACATTATTAAAGTAGCCTAAACAACTACTAGTCCTTCTATGCACAGTTCAGAGTGTTGTCTGTGATATATAATTACCTATAGAGCTTAGGTGGAAACTATCTAAAGTCAGTGGCTCGCATCCTGTTAGTGAGATACAGTGATATGAGTGTTCTGTGACCAAAAGGTCCTTCAAACCCACCTCTTCAACCCCCAGTAGACCTTGACATCTATTTCTGGATGAGCAATAGAGTAGCATCCAGCTTTTTTTCTAAAGCTCGACACACTATAATGACCTTATGTTCAGGGAACACTGTAAGACACCCCCCCCCCCCGACGAGATCCCTGAGGATCCCTGTCATTGCTGTCTATCCTGCCGCTCCCTCCACTCTTCACAAACACTGAAATGGCCAGCTGCAAGGGAGACTGCAACCCTGTAAAGGTGGGGTGCACCAGTAGCCATGTTGTAATAATGTGCAAGAGATACGGTACATCTCCCAGTGCAAGATCTCCAGAGTATATTCCCCACCTGTATGAAGGTCTATATTTATGACCCCGTTCCTTTACGAGTTTCTCCCCCACAAATTATCTGCTCCATCCCTATCTCATCCTGATTTTAGTATCTTAGTTTTTATCTTGCACATGCGGCCCGCTCATTGTTATGTTATGTTATGTTATTTTATTTTACTGTGTATGATTTTGCTTTACCGTCTTTGTACTCATATGTTGTATGTATTTTACTGTGTTGTTATCGTGTTTTGGTTTTACCTTATTGTAATATGCTGTTGGGCTTGGCCTCATGTAAGCCGCCCCGAGTCCTCATTGGGGAGATGGTGGCGGGGTATTAAATAAAGATAATAATAATTATTATTATTATTATTATTATCTCAGCCCCAAATGATTTGTATGAATTTACTTGAGTTTTGACATCTGTGGTCTCCTTATGATCAAAGGACCACTTAGCAAAAACATGTCAGTGTCTTTGGAGTCTCAATGATAATGGTAATGATTATGATGTTTATGTTTATATGTACCCCACTTTTTCTCTCCACAAAGGAGACTCAAAGCGGCTTGATTGAAAACTACCTTGATTCTCTCCCTGCTCTTTTTTTCAGCAGGTCTTCATGTTTAGACAGGCTTTTCGCTTTTAATTTGTTTATGCAGAAGGATGTTAAACAGAGAGGGAGTTAATGCATTTTAAAGTCCGTGTTATGTTTTAAATGGTTTTTAATTTATATTTTTAAGAGGATTGCTTGTTTATATTTTTAAGCATCTGTGGTATAAATTGCTTTAGGTATATTTTGTTTTAATTTGTACTATGAAATATCTTTTTTTAGATTAACAGAAATGTATGATGTAAATTAATGAACAGATAGCTTAATCTGGACATAGCCGGGCATGTGTTAAAGTAGGAAGATTGGCGCTCTCCAGTAAAACTGTTCAAGGCACAGTTACCACCCATCCATCTAGCAGATTAGTAAGGACCTGGAGCACTGTTAGGCTATATCTCAGTTTGATTTTTTAAAAAATGAAAGTACAGTCACATTCAGGGCATCTTGCATGCCTGTCCCCACCTCAAAGGTTATTTTACTGACAGAGTGTCTGGGTTGCTTTGTTGGGCACTACCAGTCCTTCACTGAGATTAAGTCTTAAAATGTCATCCAGGAAACTCTACATGAGTGATGCGATTTCTACACCTTTACTAAATATAAGTCAAAGCCAGCTGGACATGGATTTTTATCTCTACAGACACCAACTCCTATAACATATACTTTAAAATACACTATATAGTAAAATTGGCAAGATACTTTCTCTTGCTTCTCAACTGCTTTCATCTTCAGCCCTCAGAAGTAAGTACTACTGATTTCAATAGGATTCACGGCCAAATAAAAGGAAACACCGCCATAGAGCACATTGCTGTCTAAGTTAAAACTATCTTACTGTATTCATTAAAAGTTCATCTTGCGCGAGTCTGCTTACCTCTTGAATTCCTTTGACCAGCTTTCCTTCCCTCCTTTTCCTGGATTACATAACAGGAGCGTAATATAGTACCCCCTCCCTTTCCCATAGCACTGCAAAGGTGGTCAGATGTGCTGGGGAGCAGATATATGTACTTCATGGGTTTCCTCACCTCACCTTTCACAACATAGGTGAGCTTTATTTTTTTGGGCAGAATGTATTTTTAAAACAGCTACTTTCATTTGCTTTTTAAAAAGCAGTGCATCAAATCCTTTTTTTTTTTCTCTTTTTTTTTTTACCAGGGACCATTTTGACCAGGGACCACACTCCAACATCAGTACCAAAAGGACTATGAATAAGTTTTTGGCCAACTTCAGATTTGGTTTGGTTATTTAGGATGCTGATCCAGAAAATGGCATTGGATAGACCACATCCGGTCTAGTTTCTGATACAAAACATATACCATTCAGTACTCGCCATCTGCTTGTCCACAGAAGACCATATTTAATGGTCAAGAGCTGGTGTGGTCTATCCAATGCAATTTTCTGAATTAGCACCCCAAATAACTCCAGAAACAGGCTTAAAAACAAAGACACCAAGGTGTCCCTGCTTCCAGGTGCCACATGGAATGGCTCCGCTCCGCTCAGGGGGAGGGAGGAGGAAGAGAAGCAGGAGAAGCAGTGGAGGCTTGTTGTTGCGCCTTTCATGGGTAGTCAGCCTCTCTCCTCCCAACATCCCCATTGCCTCAGCACTATAAGAGGGTTTTGCAAGACCAGTCACTCTCATTGCAATGGTGTAGTAATGGTGAGGCCGCAGACCATATTTTAGTTTTTGAGGACCACTGGTGGTTCACAGGCCACAGGTTGGTAACCACTGCTTTAAAGCAATTGCTACTCCATGAAGATAAGCTTTTTTGTTTGTTTTTATAGACTCATACTAAACTAGGAACTCCCTTCCAAAGATAGCTGTCACTCTGCACATAATTTTATGCTCCCCGGAAGTGCTGAAGAATTCTGACCAACATCTCTGGATCTACAAGGACCAGAGATTTCATTCTCTTTAAAATTTGAAGCCTGAGTTTCTAATGCCATGCCACAAATGATGATCATGGACCTTTTAGGTCATGGATTGTTCCAGTTATGGACATATTTTCATAGTCACAGCAAAAGCCTTAGAGTTCCCCTTGACTTCATATCCATGTTTGTATGTTATTTTGCTAGTTTGGCTTGTCCAGTTTCAGAAGAAGCTCACTTTTCAGGAGAATTATTTTCAGTCTCACCAAAGGAAGACAGGACAATATATTCTGCATGAAGGAACAGAAAATATATTCGTTTTCCTGGCAGCCCCTTGATTTTAACCTGGGGCTTGTTCCAGTGCTGTTGATGCTCAATAAAGGTCAAGCTAGAGTTGTTTGTACATTTGGAACTGGATCACCATTCCATTAATTCTGGCTTCTTAAGCGCCGGAACCCTTTAAACATTGGAAAGCCAAAAAGTGGATAGTCAAACATGATGGAGATCAGGGTGGCTTTCCAAATGTTCTTGGATTGCAATCCTCATCATTCTTCATGATTAGTTAGGCTTAAATGAGAGTTTCAACTCATTTTTTACACAATTTTACACTGTTTTCTCATTTTTTTTAAGTTTGCAAAGTGCTGAAGGTGATGTAGGAATACATATCCAGGGTGTTGCCATTGTCAGTTCTAGACAAAACACTTAAATCTTCCCATTAAAATTAATACTATTGTAAATAGAAAAGGCATATAGGGTGTGTCACACATCAAAGAAGGGCTATAATTGGAAGTCTGTTTTTGATAGGTTCTGGGATTCTGTTCTGAAAAAAGTGACTCACTCCCCAAAAACGTTCTCTCTAAATGTGTGTTTAGCCTCCACTTGAACACTTTGTCAGGAACTCTAATGGATTTTCTCCTCTGATTGGATTCTGTGCTTAGGATGTGAGAGCCATGCCCAGCAATTGTTTGCTCTGTATTTCATGTGGTGCATGGAATAGAGATAGTTCAAGTCACTCCTGTGCCTGTCCACCCGCTATGACTGTGAGAGAGGGAGGGATATTATCAGGTCCTGCTGTCTGTAGCTGCTGTTTCCTTCTATGGCAGCTTTGACAGATAGAGGTACAAGTGGCTCATTCCTTGCATTAAGGGGAAGATAAGTTCCTGCTTTATCACTGCTTCCTCTCAAATCTTCTCCTGTTGAAAGTAGGAGCTGATAGTGCCTCTCTTGATAGCTGGGCCTCTGAGGACAGATACGGGTGGAAGGGTGTCTGAAAGAATAAAGCTGTGTCAGGAATGAAAAACAAGTGATGATACCAATGAACAGAGTTTATTTTGTACCTTTCTTCTCAGGAAAGAGTTGCTGTTACCAGCATAAATAACACAGCTCAACAAAATATTTTTTTCTTGGTGACTTAGTTTTTAGACCTGTTCCTGGGGTTATTTGGGGTACTCATTCAGAAATTTGCATTGGATAGACCTCAGTCATATGTAGAAATAAGGTTTTTTTTTATCCTATTTTTTCCAGAATAAATATCCAGTTGAATCTAGAAATATTGAAATGTGAAAAGAACACTACAATCTTGGAAAAGAAAAATCAAAATCTGGGTTGCTGTGAGTTTTCCGGGCTGTATGGCCATGTTTTAGAAGCATTCTCTCCTGAAGTTTTTCCCATATATATGTCAGACATCCTCAGAGGTCTGTTGGAAACTAGGCAAGTGAAGTTTATATATCTATGGAAAGCCCAGGGTGGGAGAAAGAACTCCTGTCTGTTTGAGGCAAGTGTGAAATCTCACTTGCCTAGTTTCCTCACAACCTCTGAGGATGTCTGCCATAGATTTAGGCGAAACGTCAGGAGAGAATGCTTCTAGAACACAGCCATACAGCCCGGAAAACTCACAGCAACCCAGTGATTCCAGCCCTGAAATCTTTCGACAACACATAGAATCAAAATAATTCAAGAGAGCAATATCTTTATTGGTCAGTTAAAATGCACAAGCTACTTCATGTAAACTTACGAAGCTCAGCTGAATTATTGCAAAAGTTACAAAAAGATGTTATGCAAAAGATGTTCAAAAACATACAGAAGTATTCCATTGCAGTTTTTAATATCTGTGGAATGTTGAGGTGGCCTTCTTTTGTACAGGAATGCAGCCTTTGCAAGTGCTACCTGCTATTTCCTATCAGTGAAATAAAATAGAGGGTGTTTTGAGAGTCAAAAGCTGTTGAATGGGACTGGACTGTGACTTGCAGCCCAGGAAGCTGTTGTATTGATAAAAGTAAAATTCAACTTTGCTCAATGGGGAAATTGCAAAAAAAAAAAATTGTGATAATTATTTTTGAATCTATCCACTCTGAATTGGCTTCATCTTCTGTTAGAATATGGCTCCCAAGCCTGAGTTTGGCCCAAACCCCCAAAAGATTTTCCCCTCCCTATATTGGGAGTTGTTTGAATTGCCATTCCCCAAATCCTGGAGGTTCTAACACTTGCTGTTTCTCTGTCTTAGCATGATGGGACGCCCTACTGCCATAAACCCTGTTATGCAACGCTGTTTGGACCTAAAGGTATGTTTCCCTGTTTCCTAGAGAAACACTCCTGTATCATTCTGTCTCTCTTTGATCGTCTCATTCTGTGCACAGTTCTTTTCAAAGCCAGCCAGAGATACTTAGTTCTGCATTGATGTAATTCACCAATCATCTCCATTGGGCCACACCTTGTTTGGTTGTGACTGGAATGTCAGCTACTTTGGGTGGAACAAGCATTAGATGCAACCACATATAAGAATCATGGTGGGTGGGCATGATTTAGGCACAAAAGGGTGTGTTATTCGTTTGTACATTTCAGCACTCTTGGGGTGGGAACATAGCTCAGCAGCAAAGCTCCTTTTTGCACCCAGAAGGCTCCATTTTTAATCTCCAGAACCTCCAGGTTGGGCTAGGAAAGAATTCTGTCCAAAACTCTGGAAGGCCACTGCCAGTCAATGTTGACAATACTGTCCTGGAAGGATATAAGAAGATGCTTCTTTGTAAAGTATCTTGTTGCATTCTTATATTCTTTCTGCTCCAACAATTCCCCTAGCCAGCACCAGCACAGGATTCTAGATGTGTGTCTTTCTTGCAAAAACATGTATTTTTATATCTAGTTTTATTCTGGTGGACTAAGTAGTATCCTATGGCTCCTGGATCTTATTTGAACCCATAATTCTGTTTAATGCTTTGTTCTAGGTTGATATAATTTATTTGATAGGTTATGTTTAGCTTAATTTTAAATGTTAAGTTATAATTTGTTTTTATTTATTGGGTTATTATTTATTATTTTGCTATTATGTATACATTGGTTGTTGTATGCAGACATTGAATGTTTGCCTTTTTGTGATTGGAAGTTTTTATTTATTTTTTTATTATGAATTTTTAAAAAGAGTAAAGCAAAGTGTGTGTGTGTTTATGCACATTCAAGTCACATCTTGACTTACGGTAACCCCATGGTTTTGCCAGATCCTTCCTCTGAAACACAGCCTACAGAAAAGCAAGTGGTGAAATTAAGGGGCACGGTACCCGATCTCTGGCAAACAAAGGAATTCCTCCTTCCCATTTGTGTTCCCAGTTGGTTAGACAAGCCAAGTGGGAGGGAATCCCTAGAGAATTTGGCTTTGAAAAGGGTTGACCTCTAGTCTTTTCATAGGCCAGACTGAGATGGTTCCTGATCATTGTAAGAAACATTACTCTTACCTTACACTGTATCTCCCTCTGGTGGCACAGAGGGTTAAACCGCTGAGTTACTGAATCTGCTGACCAAAAGGTTGGGTGTTCGAATCCATGGAGCGGGGTGAGCTCCCGCTGTTAGCCCCAGCTTCTGCCAACCTAGCAGTTTGAAAACATGCAAGTGTGAGTAGATCAATAGGTACCACTATTATGATACCAAGCCCTCTGATCTCTCTTCCTTCCTTTTCAGGAGTGAACATTGGAGGGGCAGGATCTTACATCTATGATAAGCCCCAGACTGAAGGACAGTTGGTGTCAGGCCCTATTGAATATGTGTCCAAAGTGGAAGAGAAGAAAGTGAATGCTGCCCCAAAGGGCCCCAGCAAAGGTGTGTACTCGGAGATGTTGGAGGAGCAGCTTCTGAAGGACAATTGGAGCCTGACAACGTATCTTCTATATTTTTATGTTTTTTCTTTGGTACATCACAGGGCTTGTTTTATTATGTTATACTCTTAAACTGAGAAGATAATTGCATTGCATTATTTAGGATACTGGGCAAGAATGATAACCTTCCAACCCTTGTAGTTATGTGTTGCTTTCCTCCTTTTTTCTTTACTCTGTTTTTTTAGTCCCTTTGCCTACAGTTGGTTATGGATTGCTAATGAAGGGGACCATGCATCATATGATAGGACCTCTAGGAAATTGTAGGCAAAAGGTCTCAGAAATGGTGTATAAGAGTGTGGGATGAGGTCCTAGGATAAAAGACTACCCTGTTTTCCCACTGAGAGACCCCTACTTAATGTTTGTGCAGATATTGGAGGCTTCGGCCACAATTCCACATGGTGTGGATTTTATCTGTGAGTGTTTTGAAAGAAGTAGCCGTATTAGTATACAAAGAAGGAAGGGGAAGAAAAGGGAAAAAAAGAAATGTAGCAGCGCCTTTTTGACAATCTGGTTTTTATTTTAGCATGAATTTCTGTGGGTATAAACCCAGCTCTTCAGATGCAGTGCAGCATGGTAATAAATGCTCCAATATAAATAATATTTACACATTTGTGGATTGTTAATGGAATGATACCTAGAAAGATGCAAATCATGACTCTTGCTGTAAATTTTCAAAAGATTTCACAAGGTGACACAGGTCTTTCAGATCTTTACACTGGTCAGTCAGTGATGATGTGCAAAAGCAATAAATCTGCTTATCACAAGTCGGGTTCCCAGGGTTTAAAACTCTCTCTGAGAAGATTCCTTTTGTTATATGTGCAGCAGTGAAAACTCTTGTATTAATATAAGTAATGTCCCGTGAAGCCATTGTATTTGTTCATATGCCTGCTAATGGATTGAAATTTGTCAATACAATTCAGTTCAGTAACCTCTCTTTCTAGACTTGTAATTCAAGGACTACAACCTGTAAATCACTAACTGTGTGTACAGAAAGACCAAAATGTTTTGGAACTTATTTTTGAGTAGTGCTGTTCCTAATGTCAAATTAAGCCTCTTTCCTAAGACTGTTCTGTTTGTCCAATATAAAATATGGAGGGGCATTGCCAGCATAGAGTGACATATATCACATCGGAAGAAGAGCAAGTAAATGTATCTCTGATGTCGTGAATGATGTAATGGACCTCTCAATATAGGTTTTGGACACAGTTATCAACAAAATTTCTGGCAGAATCTTTATTACCATTCATGTTATACATCCTTCTGTAATTAGTTGTTTCATATTTGGAAGTTGTTGGTACACTAGTAAAGAACTGCCTCCCAGACCTGGTAAGAGAGATGCATTGCTCTCCAGAATTGGTTGTAGGTCACTGATGATGCATTTGTGTGGTCTTTGCTGGGACTGTAGGGTGTTCTGTCATCTGGTGTTTTTTTGGTTTGTCTTGTAGTAAATGGTTCCTGGATATTAATCTTCCCTGTCAATTTGTTTCCTCATGGTGTTGTCGAAGGCTTTAATGGGTGGAATCACTGGGTTGCATCTCTCAAATGTTATCTACAGAATAAAGAAACATTGGGTTGCTGTGAGTTTTCCAGGCTGTATGGCCATGTTCCAGAAGCATTCTCTCCTAATGTTTCACCCACATCCATGGCAGGCATCCTCAGAGGTTGTGGGGTTTATTGGAAACTGAGGATGCCTGCCACAGATGTGGGCAAAACGTCAGGAGAAAATGCTTCTGGAACATGGCCATACAGCCTGGACAACTCACAGCAACCCAATGTTTCTTTATTCTTTAGATAACATTTGAGAGATGTCTGTTGTAAAAGTGTATTTCTAAGTAGACATGGTTGTATTGGAGGACCTAGTGCAGACAGTAGACTTGATATGTGTTCTAGGAAAAAATATGTGTAGTAATCCATCGGTTTTCAATTGAGCATGGCGCTTAGAAAGCCATATTACAATTGCACAGTGGTATACAGAAAGTGAATTCGTTGTGTAGATTACTCCAGGATTAAGTAAGATGAACGTTGTTGAAACTCCGGTGGAACTTCTCAAGTGGGTATGCTTAAATGGAGCTTCTCATATTTCCGCTTCCAATTAAGCTTCTCAGTGCCTCTGCATCCCCCCATTGAGATATTAATAGCTTGGGGACATCGGGGAAGTTTCCAGCTGCAGGAAAAAAAGTAGATGTCACCCTCCTGAATTCCAGAGCACTCCAGATGGTTGGCATCTGTTGTTTTCTCTCGTCTGGGAAGCTGCCCAAGTAGTTCTGTTCCTCTTCCAGTCACCAAATGGCCATCTCCTGCCCTCCCCCCTGGGGTCTTAGGGAAATTATCATAGAATCCTGAGTTGGAAGAGACTATAAAGTCCTTGTAGTCTAACCTCTGCCATGAAGACCACATTGTAAAAATACATGTTTCCCTCTCTGTATTTCAGCCTCCAGTATTACAACTTTCACAGGGGAACCCAATGTCTGCCCACGCTGCTCTAAGAAAGTCTATTTCGGTGAGTATTGTATATAGGGTTCTTTCTTGCCCCGTGTCTGGCCCACCTATTCCTCACTGGTTCAGTGAAATCTTACTGCCTAGAGAAGTGAATGCCTCCTGTTGGTCTACTGACTTCTAAAGTTTTTTGGAAATGTTTCTGATGTTGGGGATGTGATTGATAACATCACAGTTTGCTGTTCATTGCCCCTGTCTTGGTGACTGAAAGTCCGCTATGATAGTAGCTCCATTGTATTGACGTTTCGTGTGAGAGAATACTCTCTTGATTACTCTGACTGCTATGTTGCTTACTGGACCATAGGCTTCTCATCTTGACAAGGCCCTGTGACAAAGACTGTTGGGTGGAGGCAGAATTTGAGGGAATGTAGCATCAGTTGCCGAATTACTGCTGCAACCACTGGCTGCTGTTTTTTACCACACCTGCCCCCTTCACGTGCTATTTGAGGTTCAGAAGAGGCCTTTTAAAAGAACCTTTAGGGTCACCTTTTGTAAAAAAAAAAAAAAAGTCACCACTACCTAAAATAATCCCAAGTACAACAAATGTAGAACTAAAGCTTCCCAATCAAGAAGCAGGGCTGCAAGGCTACTGTAGAGTTGTGACCCTCTAAAGTTTCCAGGGTCACAACTCCACCCTGAGTCGCCTCCGGGCTGAGAAAGGCGGTATATAAATGCAGTAAATAAATCAATAATGCAGCCCCAGCCTCCAGCAGTTCTCCTGCTGCTGCTGCTGCTAACAACAACAACAACAACCACCACTTTATTTTTATACCTGCCACCATCTTCCTGAAGGGACTCGGGGTGGCCTACAAGGGGACAAGCCCGAAAATATAGATTAAAACACACACAATAAAATAAAATGAAACAAAATAAAATCAACAACAAACATCAGAAAAACATTAAAATCACAAAATACTTTTAAAAAAAAGAATAATGGCTGAAAGATTAAGCTACCGATTTTTCAAAATATTGTCTTTGCAAACCTCTTTTTTCTGTTCTAGCTGAGAAGGTGACTTCACTGGGCAAGGACTGGCACCGTCCCTGCCTACGTTGTGAACGCTGTGGGAAGACACTAACCCCTGGAGGCCATGCTGAGGTAGGACGCCATAGCCTTGGGTGCAAGTGCTATCTGGGTATCTCCATGATTGTTTTAACGATGCCTTTGTCAGTAAAAATAGATGAATCAAGATCAAAAGTGGGAAGAGGTATTTTCAAATTTTAATGAGGGGATTATTTCAGGACATCTTTTCCCCATTTTTGTAAGGGAACATTAATACTGACATATCTTGCTATGCAGCTGAAGTGGGCAAAGTGTGCTCCTGCTTTACTCAGCAGTGGCTATACTGTTTAGAACTAATTGGAGATATATATATATATATATATATATATATATATATATATATGGAAGGTTGCTTTTTTTCTACAATATGTGCACAGTTAACAGTATCAAAATAATTACAAACATATTATTTGAAGTCAAGCTTTTAGCAAAGCACTGAAGGATATCTGCAAATGCTATCAGAACTTGAGAAGATGCCTTGCAAGGTAAAGACTCCCTTATTAGAGGCTTAAATTTCAGCAGAAATGCACTGTTTGATTCCGGGAACCTTGGTTTTGGGTAGCTTCACATTCCACTCTGATGTCTACAGTGCATGGAAAGTATAACTTATGAACTACATGTTGCCCTTGGAGAAGCACTGGAAACCACATTTCAGGATATGAGAAATGTAGAACTTTCCTTGTGAGCTTACATTAAGAAAGAAATATTTGCTACATAAAACTTAGAAGCAATTAGACATCAGCACAGAGGAGATTCAACTCTATCTGCCTGTTACTTTGTAATCCCGTTATTCCAACTTCTCTAGGTATTTGAAACTGAACCTTTCTTAGTAGAAAGAATTCTCACTGCTGTTTTTCCCACCATGGATTTGTTGGCTTTGGCATTATTCGCTTTTTTTTTTGCTACTGCTCTGGAAAGTAAACAAGGCACATTTTCCTGTGTCCATTTGGGAATTGAGTTCCAAAGGAGAACACAAAGTGCCCCCTAGTGCCTAAGAAGGAATTCACATGTAGCGCCTATATATCCTTTTTCTGAGGGTTCAGGATTCAAAATACAATATATTATCTCTACAAAATGGTTAAATTAACATGTGCCTGCCAGTAGTGGACTGTCTGGGGTGTCTCTAATATTTAAGGTCCCCCCTTTAATATTAGAGAATATGTTAAAAATGTCCTTTAAATAGCTTGACAATATAAGACAGTCCAATATAGTTAAAATTATAGTAAAATTTATGCTGTTTTAGTGTTATCATTTTAATGATAATTTATATTTAAAATACAATAAATATCTCAGAAGAAACAATTCTCATTCGGTTTATGTGAGGCTGACATATATGTCCTTTGCCTTCTGGCAACCAATACTTTTACACCCAGGCAGCCCCTGGTTCCTGCAAAGATTGAGGTGGAGGTAGTACATAAGTTGCCGGGAAATAATGGAACTCTTAAAAATAAAGATCTGATAAGTTTCTAACAAGTTGCAGCCAAAGTATTGATTGCCAAAGAATGAAAGGGAGGGAGGGATTTCTCACTATATAAGTGACAGAACAAGCTATGGCAGTTAGCATTTATGGCAGTGGTTCTCAGCCTGTGGGTCCCCAGATGTTTAGGCCTCCAACTCCCAGAAATCCTAACAGCTGGTAAACTGGCTGGGATTTCTGAGGACCCACAGGTTGGGAACCACTGATTTAGGGAGACGTTGGCCACACAAGTCAAAATGTAAGGACTAGCCAGTTTACAGATAATTCATTTAATTAAATCTGGTGGCCTGTTATTGCATATTCCAACTGTAATAACATTATCTACCGGCCCTCTGTAACTCATAGTAACCTTTTGAACAATCTGTTATCCTAAGCATTTATTTGATTCAGCATTCACAATCGGTTTTTTGGTATTTCTGTTTTGTTCCTCTTCTTTATTTATTTGTTGTGTTTCTATGATTATTTTTTATTCAAAATAATATGATAATATGGAAATGATTTAGGAAGAGGTTATTTTTGATGCAGTATATTATTTCTCTGGAGAGACAGCGTAGTGGTTTAAGCACTGGACTGTGATTCTGGAGACTTCCTTGTAGCCTCCGAGGAAGGCAAAATTAAATCTTCTCTGAACAAATCTTGCCATGGAAACACCATAAGAGGGTTGCCTTGGGGTCCCCATAAGTCAGAAATGACTTGAAGTGACATATTATCTCTGTTTCCATTTATAGCTCTGGCCTATGGGCCCAGGGTTTGCAGAATCCTTGTATGCCAGACTTTGTCCCTGGGACAGCCATGACAGAAGCAGCCCTGAGTTGTGGCACTATATTAGTCTTGTGCACACCTATTCTCAAGTGCAGGGTGGGTTTTCAGCAAGAAGGAAATTTCGTTGCAATGAAATCAGGATGTATAGTTACTATATCAATTTTAATGTTTTATACTGTTTTTATTGATAGCATTGAATTGTTGCCAACACTGTGAACCACCCTGAGTCCCCTTTGGGGTTGAGAATGGGTATATAAATACTGCAAATAATAATAACAATAATAACAATAGTATTCATGCAACCAGAAAGCTTAGCCTGGTGGCAAGCATATGTTGAGGGCAAGAGAGCCTGCTAGGTAGTGGGTTGCTCACTGCTAGGAAGCTCCCTTGAGGCAGAGAGTCTGATCCTAAATATTCTGTTCCTATTTTTCTTGTCTCCAGCATGATGGCCAGCCTTACTGCCACAAACCATGTTACGGGATCCTGTTTGGACCAAAGGGTAAGTTTAACATGGGAGAAGCAAAGCTGCTTCAGCCTAGAAGTGATGGTGGAAAGAGTTCTCAGTGGATTGGAAGGCTTGCTCCTCCAATGCCACGGAGAACATGACTACACAGTGGGAATGAAACTGGGATGACCACTCTGCCATTTATATAACAAATAGGGTCTTGCTGTGCAATGATGCAATATAAAGTTCAGGATTCCAGCCAGCCATGTTCTTTTCCAAGGAAATCAGTTCCATTCTTGCTTCTCCATTTACCTTCAATGATGGATGGAAGGTTGATAACATGACAGTCTTTACTGTTGCTTGCCCCTTTCTTGCTGATGACGGAAAGTCAGCTATGATAGTAACTCTGTTGCATTGGTGTTACATGCGAGAGAATACTCTCTTGATTCCTCTGACCACTATGTTGCTTACCTAGATCATAGGCAGATACATTTCTTCTCATATTAGCAAGGCCCTACGACAATGACTGGCAGGCAGAGGCCGAATTTGAGGGAATGTAAAACAACTTCACGAAGAGTCGGAAATGAGTGAACGAATGAACAACAAAACATTTCTCTATTCATGTAGCATCCGTTGCTGAATTGGTGCTGCAACCACTGCTGCTTTTTGGCTTTTCTGCTTCTAAGTAGTTCTCTAAGTTCACCTGATAACAACAGTAAATATCCACAGATTGTCAGGAGTAATATTTTATGTATGCGTATACATTGTTAGAGGAACTTATAGAGAAAATAAATAGTGACAGTCAGTGACTTTTTGCAAAACATCTGGTATTCCTGCAGTTTCTCTTACTCCCCATTCATCCCAGATAGTGTCATTTTGGCCACACAGATTCATGCTCAGAGAATGATTGCTATTCTGCACAGATTAAAAACAAAACTTATCAAATTTCCCACACCCTTTAACCTGCTCCTCCTCTTTCCTTTTGCCCTGGCCCTTCCTCCATTTATGCTTTTGTATTTTTTTCCCTCAGGAGTCAACACTGGTGCGGTTGGAAGTTACATCTACGATAAAGACACCGAGGCAAAAGATCAACCTTGAGAGCTTTTTTCTGCCAGCTGCTCCAGCTGCTCAGCCCACTTGCACTGCATTCTCTTGACTAACCTTCTTGTGTGTTTAGATATAGTGACGCCACATGCTGGCTCGGCCCTCTAGGAGCAGTTGATGAGGTAGCTGCACGTTTTGCTGTTTCCTCGCTGGATAGGTTGGCATTTGGTTCTTCCTCTGTTTTATAATTGCAACAAAAGCAGACCTAGCTGCTTCTCTCTCACTGCATCCCCTGGCAAACCCATCCCTTCAGCTTAGTGTGCTCTGAGCTGCCACGGGTTACACAACTCAATCCCATTACCCAGTGTTCCCAGGAAAGTACATATTCAGCAGTGGCTCTGGCTGCATTTATATATATAATCAGCTATTGGATATTTAATGGTTGGATACCTGGAGAGATTGTCCACAAGCTGAGTGCAAAAATGTGTTGTGATGAGCTAGAAGGGAGGGCAAGTCTGCAGAGGCCTTTGGTGTCCTGATACCCAAGGACACCTAGCTGTGGCCTTACTGTTAGGCAGTATTGCTATACAGCCCTTATACTTAGTCTCCCTAGCAGCAGGCTCTCTCCAGCATGTTTGGCACAGCTAAATGCTTTTGTTTGAAAATCTGTATTGGTGTGGAATCTGTGAGAAATTATTAGCCCTGCTAATATTATTCTAGGAAAAAGTTATTACTGTAACTTGAGTGAGGAGGTAAGGGCTCCTTGTGTGAAACCTGTAGCTTTCCAATACCTATTAATGCAAGATCTGTGGATGTGGCTCCCTAGTGTCTGTATAGGAAACCTTGGCCTTTCTTGTCACAATTAAGTAGCCTGAATCCTAAAAGGGGAGTGGTAGAGACGTGTTGGTAAATGTGTGTGTTGTGTGTATACATGTGGTTATTGGAGAGTAAGTAGCTCTGTCTGCCTACAAATGGACTAGTTTCAGGGTTTGTTTCCCTGTGTGTTTCACATGTATTTATAACCAGATAGTCAATTGCTTTTTCCTTTGGGGAATGCCGTGCCCTTCCAGTCACCCTGGAATATTTACATGGGAGCAAGAGGCACAGTTAGTAATTACTGGGGGTCTGGAGTGGAGACAATGTTAATGAAACAACTTTCCAAAAGCTTGCACTATCCAAATTACAAACCAGCTTCTACAACCAAGAATGCCTCTTCCAACTTACTGTTTTCAGTTAATAAAAGTATTTCATAAACTGTTTTGTGGTGTGTGAGATTGGTAGACAAATTCTGTTAATCTACAAAAAGTGTGTATTACCCAGAATAGTGAATAGTTACTTTCCTGTTTTGGTACTACTTTGTGTAGTTCTTCACTCCACATTTCCATCTAGACATTAGTGATACACAAGCCTGCTTCACTCCATCTTACTGCTTACTGTGCTCACTACACAGTATCTCTTACATATATCCGCCTAAGACACAAAGAGAAGAGACTCCAGCACTGCAATCCTGTGCTTCCAACTAGAAACAAACAACTCATGTTGGCTTTCTGAATGTCTACAAAATTGGTGTCATATATGATTGCTGTCCAGCTGAATTGAGAAGCAATTATAACAGTGGTTCCCAATCTTTGGGCTCCGGGTGTTTTGGATTTCAGCTCCCATCATTCCTAACAGCAGTGGCTGGGACTTCTGGTTGTTGAAGTCCAAAACACTTGGAGCCCAAAGGTTGGGAACCACTGAGTTATAGTAAAGGTCATTCAAAATATTTTGCTTTTTTATCCTGTTTTTATATTTCCATATCAATGTAAGATTTGAGCAAGGGAGATTAGACTGAGGACATGGCATAGGAGGAAGAAAAATCAAATACCCCACCCCCCAGTGCTGTGACCTCAGTGAGCAACCCAAAATTTACGATTCTGATGCAACACAATTGGTGCTGACAAAATTACCATCTGTCAGCTGCAGAAGGCCACCCTACTCGGATCTGCACGCATTATTTGCTGATACATCACACAGTCCTAGACACTTGGAAAGTGTCCCACGTGTGATCCAATACAATAGCCAGTAGAGTGATCTTGTTTGCTGTCTACTAATCTTGTTGTGTTTCAAATAATAATGGTAATTATTATTATTAATATCCCACTTTCCCTCTTAAAAGAGTCTCAAAGTGGCTAACAATGTTTAAGAATGTACAATTTAAATCTGAAGACATAGTAAAATAGAAGTAAACATAGGAGCATTAAAAAGAAATAGTTAAAACCCATTTAAAGATGGTAATTTAAAATTTATTAAAATACCAATCAGTATAGCATGGGTCATTGGTCGGCAGAATTGAAGAACTCTGCCCCCAACCCACTTGAAGTCATTCTCCCTTCGTAAAGTCTAATCCTACAAGGGTTCTTCAACAAGCTTGCAGTTGAAGGTGGGAAAGGGCTAGTCTTTCCCATGCAGTGTTTCTAATGTGCTCAATCCACTGCCAGCTGTTGGCCCAACTGTGGGGTCTGAGCACTGAAGAGCTGCCAGACAGCTGGCTGATGCTACACAGTATACTAGAAGCCTGACAGTTGCTTCTAGTATACTGTGGCCTCCACCATAGTAGGACCCTGTGACATATGCACTCAGTTCAATCATAGTCAGTGCTGTGAAGCAAAGATCATTATAGCTGGAGCATTTTGCAGCATCTAAGTCTTCTCCTGAGACAACTTGGCCTTGTTTGAGAAGAAGGCATTGCAAGACCAAAGGCAAAAACTAGGAGAGCTGAAGACCTCACAAGAAAGGTGAACATATTCCAACAGCTGTTATGACCTTATTAGTTTTCAAGGAGAGTCTATTTCATGAGGTGTTGGACCTTCTAAGAAAGAGTGTTCTGCTGCTGAACACATCTTAATGTCAGCATGAGTCAACCAGTCTCTCTTTCTAAACTATCCCAGCTCCTTTATTTGGAGAAAAGGTGAGTAAATTTGGACCTGATCTGCCTCAACCAATGTTTTTATTTGTTGAGGGTTGAGAATGGAAATGATATTGCCAAGGAGGCTCTTCATACAGGATGTTGCACAGTGGTCATAGCTCTTTTTAAATAGTGGCTGGGTAAACATCTGTTGAGAGTGCTTGGATTTTATATTTCTCTATGGCAGTGGGTTGGACAGTGGTCTCTTCCAATTCTATTATTCTAGATCACTCTTTGCCCTTTCCTTGATTCTTTTACAGCTATTTTTCCCCAGAAGATTATGTCAGAGTAGGTATCAGTGATTCCAATATTATCACAAAAGACCTTGGTTTGGGAATATAAAGCAAAAACTATCATCTTTTGATTGAGAAATCAAGAAGACACCTAGTTTCTGCTTTCTATTCCAAATGGGCCATCTTGGGATACTACACAGTACATATATCAGATGATGTAAACTGGACCAGTATACATTTCCCGATGCCAACTTCAAATGTAGGCTCTTATAGCACATGGCCTTTCTTAGCCATTTGTTTAATTGCCTTTCCTTGTAACACTTAGCACATTGAATGTTGATTCCTCCTCACCAAAACCAGAAATAGAAACACAGTCTTCTTGTGTGCTTTGAAATGGTTTCCAACCTATGGCTGCCCTAACATGAACCTACCCAGGGTCCTACTTAGGCACAATTGTGACACTATTGCCACAAATCGGAACTTACTGCATTTAGTAAGGAAGAGGTATTTTCCCAGAATATTATATCAGAGTAGATATGGATAATTCCAATACTGGTACAAGAGACCCTGGTTTTGAAATATAATGGACAGACTTTCTAAGAATGTTACAAGGATGACTACAAGGCAGGAAAAAGGTACTTTGGTGAGTGATTGTTGATCAACTCTGGGCTCTCTGGAGAGGCTATGAAATGGCAGAAAGATCCCACATGTGCACATCCACCCAAGTTGAGAATTAACATATGGATATAATAAAAAATATATAAAAAATAAATCTTTTTCTGTAGTGCACAAAATATTAAAATACAATATCCCCCATACCCCAGAATGCCAACTGCAATCACTCTGAGGTACTAGAGAAACTAAATACCGTGAAGACTTCCTTCCTTGTCTTTGCAGGAATCTAAGAGGACACAGCTGGACCCAGAGATGCTCAAATGCTCTGAGGACTCATAATTTTTCAGCTGAATATTTTCTGACAATCAGCTACTGTTTTCTGAAGTAAAACATTTTATTTATAATGCTCAGGCTGATATTTGTGGTCATTAATAACAACTGTTTTGTGCCTGACAATGGCTCCACTTAAAGTTTTTTTTTAATGGGGTGAGGGTTCAGGGTTGTGCCATCTTCTCATGTCAAAGAAGGTTGGATTAACATCCTGCAGGAAGAGCTATTTCCTTTGGTAATGTAACTCTATCAAAGATATAATTCATGACTCAATTGTTAGCATCTGATATATCAGCATAAAACAATATACATATTTGTCATACATTATTTTTAATATGCAGACAAAATCAAATATGGCATTGTATTAGCCAGTGTCACTTACAATGTGACAATGTTCAAAACAGGTGCTAGATAATTATGAAGAGGCTTTTTATAAGATCTTGCAGATGTTCTTATTTGGTTTTATTTGAATGGCACCATGACATAGAGTGCTGTATTTCTTTAACATATGCAATTATTTATTAGGTTATTTTATTTTTTGGTTTTGTGTTGTGTTTTTGTGTTATATTGTATTTACTGTATTAATGGGCGTGGCCTCATGTAAGCCACCCTGAGTCCGCTTGGAGAGATGGTGGCAGGGTATAAATATATTGTTTGTTTGTTTGTTTGTTTGTTTGTTTGTTTGTTTCGTATACTTCTACCCCGCCCTTCTCAACCCCCGAGGGGGGACTCAGGGCGGCTTACAAAAAGGCACATCTTGGTGCCCACACAAATACAATAACATATAAAAACAGCAATTAAATGGTCAACAATTAAAACAACAATATATCTCACAATCGATAGCCAATCTCAGACACAGCGTTCGCCAACTCAGAGTCCATATTTCGTTCCACATTGTCCATTCCTATCCGTCGTCACAGTCCTTTATTCATCTGCCAGATTGCCCAAACGCCTGGTCCCACATCCATGTTTTTAATTTCTTTCTGAAGGAAAGGAGGGATGTTGCTGATCTAATTTCCCTGGGGAGTGAATTCCATAGGTGAGGAGCCACCACTGAGAAGGCCCTGCTCCTCGTCCCCGCCAATCTCACTTGTGACAGAGGCGGGGCCAAGAGCATCCAATGTCTTTCTTTCTTCATGGCTACCAGCCCCACAGACTTCTCTCCTGCTGCCACCAGCTATGGCAGGGTAGTTATATCAGCATTGGATACCAGCTATTGTGTGTTTCAAAAGCAGGTCTTGGGATATTATTTTTAAAATCTATTGAATTATTTTGTATAATGACACATGAGAAATACATTTGTTATTCATTCTTGGTTACTTGTGCTCATGGGAAGAATAATAATAATAATAATAATAATAATAATAATAATAATAATAATAACAACAACTTATTTTTATACCCCTCTTCCATCTCCCTGAAGGGACTCGCCTATTGCTACCCATTGTTTCACCAGCACAGTCCATTGTCCTCACCAGGCTGGGAACATTACCATTGTTATAATCCATTACTTTAAGACCACCTACATTATTTCCTTCACACACCCCATGAGAGGTAGAACCAGGAGTGGACACAAAACTTAAAACTGAGCAGTGACAATTTATGAAATTTCCCTCAAAACCTGGAGATCACTCGGCAACAATGACAGACAGTGCATCTGAATCAACCAGCTTGCAGATCCTAGCCTGCCACATTCTGAACCAATCAACACTCAGGACAGTAGTAGTCCTGTTTCAAACTGCTATCAAAATGCTATAAATATTTCAACAAGTTTGCATTGAGGCATGTCAATTATTTGGACGGCTATCTATGCTGCACTGAGAATAAAGGTTCTGATTTTGCCTTCATCCCGTCAGTGTCTTATCTAGTCCTTTGAAAGCTTGACACTCTGGTCCGCAAATCCACAGTTTTAGTGGAGCTGAAATCACATGACAGTGTGATACATTTATATCTCATGAGTTAGGATCTTGACCTAAGAAGAAACACCCACAGCAGTGCCACTCCATAATTATTGCTGCTCTTTTCCCCTATGCTTTTACCCGACATAGCTGCCAGATCTTTTTCTTTCCTTCCTCCCTCTTCCTGTCACCTCTGGCCACCCAGCCTCTGCTGAAAAACCTCCAGGAAAG